GTGCAAAACAAAGAGATGCTAGTGTTGGATAACGCTGGCAACCCGGAGTGGGCACTAGGCAGATTGTCCATTTGTGGCTTTAATCAGAAACTAAGGTTTGGGCGGGCCTTGCTCCCAGGCAAATATTCCAAGGCAACAAGTGCACACACGTACACTCTCTCAGCTCCCAGCTGCATCTGCTCCATCCTCCAAGGATTAGTGGAGACAATGACTTGACTCTGTAAATACCTTTTGTATATCTGAAGCTTATTTCCGATGAGGTGGGTCAGTGTCTTCCCATCCCCTAGAACGTGGGTAGTGCTGAGTGACACTGAAAGCAGATCTGGTACTCCACCCTCAGAGAAAAGGGGGCCCATTAGGACTAGTGACACACAGCCTGCAGGGAGCCTGGAGGATCCCTCAGAACAACAGAGCTCTCTTATCAGCAGCTACTCTAACTAAAGTCACCAGTCCAGGCAAAATGTTAAAGGTCATAATGTCCCTGGGAATGCTTTGGTTGACAGGAGCAGGTCCTAGGGAAATCTTTGGAACAGTGGCATGAGTCATTTTAAATTACCCATTTAACTGCTCAAAAATACAATCAGAAACAATAGTACACGGAGAGCAACCCCTGCTGTGCAGCCCCTGTCTCATTCCTGTTCGGCCCCAAGTGGGTAATCTTTGAAGAAGTAGTTGAAAAATTGAATGCCTGCCATGCTTTTTCAATCAGCTGTGTTCACTATTTTCCAGCAAGTACTCACATTTCTAAAGATACCTCCATCTAGTTGAAACCCTGGTCAAGGTCACTGTGAAATGAAAAGGATATTTTGATTTGGAAATGGTAGAGAACCTGGTGTGTGAGTTGATTCTCAACTCACTTGCAAGGTCATGTCAAAACCTCAGACTCCAATTTCCCTTCAGGAGAGAAATGGCTAATGTCCATCTTCCTTGCCACTTTATTAGGGACAGCATATTTAATGTGAAGTGTAGTTTAAACTGAACTATCATGTGTAAGTGGCTCATTGCTGCTACATGCCCAGTGTACATAGCATTGGGGAGATATCAAAATTAGTAATGGGTCTCTAATGACAGCAGAATATGTTGAGATGGCCACAAAGACATGCTGCAGGCACACAACTCTTTGCAGTAAGAGTTCTCTAGACAGGAGAAAGGAATTGTATGCTCAAAAGTAACTCGGGTGGCTAAGATGATTCAACTTTTTTCTCCTTTAACAAAACTCTTTGCATATATTCTTATGTGAACCACATGCCAATTTTTTTTGTAATTAGTCACCTACATATGATCCCATATTCTCTTTTTGTCATAAACAGAAAACATTGTATAAGCTGATGATTTTTTATACAGAATTGGGAAAAAACCCTAATAGTTGCCTATTATTTATGTAGGAATCGTTCCTCTTGGTAAAATACAGCTCCTGCTGCATCAGTGCCACAGTGAAGCTCACAGGCTAAGCAGCAGCTCCACTGTCCCCCACTGACTGTGTGCCTTCAATTATGTGAACTGTCATTTCAGTCACAGGATTGAAGCAAACGATTTCCTCTCTTTCAGAGCAGGCACACTACATCTGAAATATGGGTGAGGAAGAACCATCTTTAAATTATGCTGTCTCCATTTTCCTAAGTCCTTAAGAATATTTTCCATGTATGTTTTAAGTGATATTTTAGTACACAGAAAGTGGTTAAATAAAAGACTACTGATTTTTGGATTTTCTCAGTAAGCAATTTATCCTAGGAAAGGCTAGGGCTGTGGGCAAAGCAGAGAAGACTTTTCACTTCTTGCTCCAGTGCTTGATAACTGTGATGTTGGGGTCTCACTTAACCTCATGAAGCCTATTTGTTAGACAGACTACTTTGTAAACATATTATAGAAATCAGAGAAAAATACAGATACAGAACCCAAATAATGAAACTAGCAAACTGTTGCAAACATATAATAATCAATAAGGCTAAGAGAATTCAAATATGTCAGAGAGGTTTCAAAAGGGTGTGGATCTTGAAGCCAATGTATGAAAAAAAAAAGTTCAAAAATGGATGCAACATTCAACATTACCTGCTTTGTCCTGGAGACAGCATGTGAGAAGGGGCAGAGTGAGAGCTCTGGACCAACACCATCATTCCTGAGAATGGTCCTGGAGAACAGAGTGCTGGGACCTCATCTTAGAGTGCCACTCAAAGCTGCAATCCCAGCTGCCTCAGAACCAATGAGGGAAAGAGAGCTTCCTGGACACATCTGCTAACTCCTGGGTTTTCATGCCAACTCACAAATAAACATGTAATCATGTAGGTAAGTCCATGTTTGAATGACAGAATAATGATGATAAAGGGTTGACACTTTTAGATGTGTTTTGAATAGTTTTAAGAATCCTTTATGCTGACACAGTCTCCCTACAACCAAAGATATATAATGTCATACCAGGAAATGGCTGTCTCCAAGTTGACAAATGTAGTATACAGAGAACTGGCATTCTGGCTTCTCCAGGGGCATTCTGGCTCCATGGCTGTTTTTCAACCAGACATCATACTGCCTGTCTGACTCTTCCTGGCTGCTTATTTCATGCAGGCTCTGGTCAACATCTAGCACCAACATACTATGTGGTACCTACCATGGACACATTGAGACAAGCTGCAGGGTTTTGCTATTGTTTATGTCCGGGGTGGGGGGGGGGTGATTTCCGTTATCTGATTGCCCACACAGATCACATTTTCAAATGACAAATTACACATAAAAGTACATATTTATGATTCTCTTGATTAAAAACAAAAACATTCAGACACAATGAATCTCATCCCATAGCTTGCTAACTCTCAGGCTGGCCTCTCCATGGATCTGCCCTCCCATGCCACCTTATGTGATCTAACATCACATTTTATCACCTGCCTGATGTCTGTGCTTTGTGTGTGTGTTTGTTCCTTTGCATATAGATATCTGTATGGCGAAAAAAGATCAAACTATTCTAACAGCTTATTAATGCATACAAAACACTCTGGGTTCAAACTCCCAGCTCCTAAGCTCTGGTTTTCATGGATCCCTTTAAGACTCAGCTTCCTCAAATCAAAAAATGGGATTACTAACAGCATTTAACCTAGAGTGTTGCTATGAAATAAATGATGCAATGCATGAGAAGGCTTAAACTGCTACTGGGCTTGCATTAAGATACGCCAGAAAGGGAGGACATCTCCACCACTGGGAGCCATCAGGATGAGTACAAATAAAGAGGAGCAGGTAGAAGAAACACTTCTGTTGGACCCACACAGCTTGATCCTAGGCAGGAGGCCTGTTCAGTGAGAACTCTAGGGAAGAGTCTGCAGCGATTGCTTCAGATGAAATGACACAGCTTTTTAGCGCATTTCATTACTTAGGTAAAATACTGCATCCCAGGAGAAACTGAATCCCAATCTGAGGCAATACTCCTTTATTTGCTATTTTTCAAGGTCTTAAACAAATCCTCCGTATTCTCATTGATCGGAACTTGCCCTGTCTCCCCATCGCCTGCACCCTGAACTCAGAATGGACCCTATCACTGGAGTCTCGATCTTGGTGCTTTTATGCCTGTGCTTGCGCACTGTGATGACCAGACATCCCAAATGCTACTGCCCAGTGCCACATCTGCATCACAATCTGCTGCCACATCCAGCACAGCTCCAAGGACAGACCTGACTCCGGTAGTAAGGGAATAAAGAGACAAAACACAGAGACCCATGGGCATACAGACAAAATGAGATCAGGTAGACTGTGCTCTCTGATGGAGAAACTGCAGGAGTTCAGATGCTCAGCATGTTTAATATATACAATCGAGCAGCTAACATGGAGGTAATTACATACAGATAAACAAGAAGGCGTGGCTGTGGTACACGGCTGGATCAGGGAAATAGGTTTACTTAATCAGTAGGAGCTGTCTCTGTAGGGGAATAGTCTTCAGAACATAAATGTCTAGGGAAAAAAAACCAGTGATACACATGTTCTGTACAAACTATCAACATCTGTACATGGACCAGAGAGAGGTTTACTCTTCCTCTGAGCCTTATCCCATGGGTGGGAGATATTTGCTATTTCCTATTGGGCTGAGGCTACAATCCTTGACATGGCCAGCTCATGTCATAAGCACACATTCAGGCAGGACTTCACACACTCAGGCCTTCCTCCACCTCCCATAGTCTGCCACTGAGGTATCATGGAACCTATTCAGCAGTTGCCCTTGTGTTTTATGGCAAGGCCTGGCAAGCATTTTCTCCCAATACATACTTCAGGCTCTACAGGTCATCCTACCTGTGTCCATGGACACAGCCACAGATGTCAGGTACAGAGGAGGTAGCCTGGGTCCCACCAAACTTTATTTATGAACAGTGGATTCTAAGTGTCAGAGAACGATCATGGCCACACAGTGGTATTAATCTTTTTATGATTTGAAGTCATGAGAACACCTGTAGGCTGGGCTGTAGGGTGTCAAGCAGAAGGCCATGGGAGAGCATACATTGGGGCCAAGGCTCTACAACTTTCTGCCCTGATTTTACTATTAGTAGCAGGAAATTGTAGCCTGATTGATCAACCTCAGTGCACTGTTCATACATGAGCCCTCTAGTGTGTTCTGTCATGTGTAGCCATGATGCCACTATCTAAGTCCTAGTATGGCACATTTCCAGTTCTCAAAGATGTTCTTCCATAGTCTCTTCCAGCACAGTGTAAGCCCACTACTTTTGCAAATAGGTTCAACCCAGCTTTTCTGCAGGTCTGAACTGATTAAAAAAAAAAAAAGACAGACAGTGTGTGTGTGTGTGTGTGTGTGTGTTTGTGCGCGCGCGCATGCACGCGCGCATGTTGTAGGGGTGGGCGTGGCTGTGACCAGCTAAACTTACAGAGCAGAGAGAAACCTAGTGGGAAGGCTATACTTGACATGAAATTTGGATGTCATCAGCACTCACATCCAGTCCTGGCTCCACAGAATCACATTTATTAATCTGGCCAAGAGCAGTCCCTATGAGGACTCTCTCCTGCTTCCTTACCTGGGCCAAGGTGAGGGTTGCTTGTTTGCAGGTGCCACACTGAACACGGAGCTTTCCTGGCTGGATCCTGTGGCAGGGACCTTTGCAGTAGACATAAAAGCTATTGTAGGTGGGTTTAACTGTTGGGAAAAAGCAGAGAAAGTACCCAGTCAGTGCTGGTCCAGACTGAGCCAAGACACCCACTATAAAAGCCCATTAGAGGCAAGCCGCATAACTAACTCTGCAGGAGGATTTTGTGAAATTAGAAGAATGAACGTTTCAAGGAGGAGATAACCATTTAGAAAACTTAGTTTTATGTTGAAAAGGGTTTAAGTGTCCTTTTCTTGACAACAGCCCTGTGTCTTACTCATCAAAGTAAACAGTCTGTCGCCAAGAGCTGGGCCAGAGTATTTGCAGCCCTGGGAAATTAAATGCCATCCTCTCTGCTGAAGACAGACGAGGACAGGAAACTCCGAGATTCTGGAAAATGCAGAGGCTGCTGCCCCTGAATCCTATTTCATGCTTCTGTACACAGCAGTGAAGATTCAAGATCTTTTCCTCTCAGAATCACATCTGCACAGCCAAGCCAGCCTTTCCCTCATGATATGAGTGATCAGACCACAGTTGCTGGGTTTCTAGGAAACACTTGCCAAAAACCCTAACATATAAAATAAGAGTCCTGAACCCTGTGGAGCTTAACAGATCCTGCAGCCTGTGCAGAAGTGCAAGCTTTGCATTTTGTTAACATTCTCTCTAGCTAGACAATTGCCACTCAAACAGAGTGAAAACAGTGAACATTAAAAAAAAAATCATACTCAACAATAAAAAACAAGGAAATCATGAAATTTGCAGGTAAATGGTGGGAACTGGAAAAGATCATTCTGAGTGAGATATCTCAGAAACAGAAAGACACACAGGGTATATACTCACTCATAAGTGGATATTAGACATATAATATAGGATAAACATACTAAAATCTGTATACCTAAGGAAGCTAATCAGGAAGGAGGACTCTGGCTAAGATGCTCAATCCCCACTCAGAAAGGCAAAGAGGATGGACATCTGAGGAGGGAGAAAACAGGAAACAGGACAGGAGCCTACCACAGAGGGCCTCTGAAAAGCTCTACCCTGCAAGGTATCTAGGCAGATGTTGAGACTCATAGCCAAACTTTGGGCAGAGTACAGGGAATCTTATGAAAGAAGTGGGAGATAGTAGGACCTGGAGAGGACAGGAGCTACACAAGGACAGCGACATATCCTAAAATTCTGGGCACAGGGATCTTTTCTGAAACTGATACTCCAGCCAAAGACCACTCATAGAGATGGCCTGGAACCCCTGCACAGAGGTAGCCTATGGCAGTTCAGTATCTAAGTGGCCTCCATAGTAATGAGGACAGGGACTGTCTCTGAGAAGAACTGATTGGCTTACTTTCTGATCACCTCCCCCTGAGGGGGGAGCAGCCTTACCAGGTCACAGAAGACAATGCAGCCACTCCTGATGAGACCTGATAGACTAGGATCAGAGGGAAGGGGAAGAGGGCCTCCCTTATCAGTGAACTGGGGGAGGGACACGGGTGGGGAATAGAGAGTGTGGGATTCGGAGGGGAGAAGGGAGGGAGGTACAGGGGGGATACAAAGTGAATACACTGTAATTAATAAAAATAAAAATAATTAAAAATCAATCCAATCAAATCATTTCTCTCAAGTGTCAATATGCTCAAAGTACTGCTCCTTAGGCAAGGGAAACCGTTTATGTACATCTGATACCTTTGTGTCTGAAAAGAACTGACTAGAAGCTCTTACAGTACAATGAGAACCTTCTAAATTTTAATTTTCCCAACTTAATATTTTTTAGATCGTTATCTAGTTGTTGCTGGGGGTGGGAAAGAAAATTGCCATGATGTAAACATGTGTTCATATTTTAAAATCATATCGTAAGAAGCATCTAGAAAGAATAAGCATTTCTTATGATAATGAATGAAAAGTGTTGGTCAGTGAGATGCATACAGTTGACTAAAAACAGTACAGAGACAATGAGCAAACAGCAGAAGACCCTGCCATTTATTTACTCAGCTTTGCTAACTCTGTAGCTGATGGAACTTTGTACAATAAAATAAGGAACATTCTGATGCATTTACAATATATTTTTATAATGGTTGCTCCTCAGCAATGCATTCTTAGCTGCCAGTGTGAAAGGACAGACAATCTATAAATACGTTTGCATTGATGCTAAGTATGTATTTTGACACCTCTCTGTAGCTTTATTGCCTTTGTGGGCAAGATATCCAAGTTATGAATATTGTACTGTTAATATATAACAATATAATTATTATATGAAATATATGTAGGTCACAATTAAAACACAGAGCCCTGAGTCAATGTTACAGTAATGTTTGTAACATAATAAATGATTGTCTGTGAAAAGATCACAGGAACAGTGACAGCTCTAGCCTGTGTTAAGAACCTTATTTCTTCACTCTTAAAACTTATCAACAATGGGTAAAACATTGAGTCCTACAATTTTCATAACCGCCTGTGAAGCTTAAACAATAAAAATAGCAGAAGGATGGGTGAAAGAAAAGGAAAATCTTTCCAAAAGGAAGTCAGGGCAATTGTCAGGTGCACTGTGGGTACAGGAAATCGCCAGTTACTCAATATTAAAAGAAATTTGGGGAACTGGAGCCTCCTAATTCCAGCATAGCGACAGCAGTGTCTGGTATTATCTCAGCTGATGCTGCATCAGAAGGCACCTTCCACCTCTGCCTGCTCAGCCTTCACTAAGTCCTTGAGAGGCCAGTCACAAAATACTGCATGCCGCGCCAGTGCCCTGGAAGCCCAGTGGGATGACATGCAATTCATTACACCTTGCTACCCAGACCCTGCCGGTTAATAGCCAGTCTAAGGGAGATCAAGGGCAGGCAGTCCAGACCGGAGGACATTTCAAGCTTGTTGCCTTCATTTAGCCAAGCAGCTGGGGTTTCAGGTGAATCACGAGAGCCCCTTTCAGAGTGGGTTCCCTACCTTTCTGGCAGTGTGACACACTTTACATTGGGCAAGCTTCTCTGTGTCCTGCTGTGGCCTGGACTATACTGGGCAGGGATGAGAGCAAACGCCCCACAACTTCGTCAGTGTCCCCATTGGCTTGACTGATGAGCCTGCAGCTGAAACTCTGTTACAGAGTCATTACTCCAGAGACAACAGCAGGGTGACTATGAGAAAGGCCTCAAAAGCCTTCAGCAGGGACCTGGCACCTCTAGTCACTAGGGTTCATCTCCCATCTCCACCTCATTTGGGACCTTAAATATCTTTTGCTCTCCTAATCTCTAGGTCTCTTCTTCATTAGTCAAAGTAATTGAAGTGGCTTATGCTTACAACACATTCCTCTTTTTACATAATAAGCTGAGGCCTACAGAAAATTTAAACAGCATATAAATTAGATCCCTTTGTTGTAGTTTACCAAATGGGTATTTGGGTGGGTATCCTTCATGTATCTGTACCATAGATAGAGATATATTCCTCACATACATACCTCCGACTGTACCTTACATAATTAAGTTGCAGACAGTCAGCATCTCCATCTTTAAATCCTTCAGCATTCTGACAGGAAGGGCTTTTAAAACTCAAAGCCACAGAAGTTTTAAAATGATTTGGCTATTTTAGTACCTCTAACCATAGACTGATAAGTGAATGTTCACCACGATTTACACAACACTGCAGAACTTTGAAAGCTGTTTAGGTAGAATGTTGGGGTTTCTCGTAGTTGGTCAAGCCCCTGGTGTGACACCTCAGAATTCTGTGGGTCCACATGAGGCCAGATGAAACAGAGCACATTCTGAACTTGACCTAGCTGCTGATGCTTTCTTTTTTAATGCATCTTGTGAAACTCCGTTTCTCAGGAAGGACATTTTTGGAAAAACTTAGGAATTGACGAATGTGTAGAGGTTAACCTACAGTAAACTGAACTGCCTGTGTCTACACTTAAGAATTCTAAAATGTTCTTAGAATATAGAGTAATGGGCATGCTCTTTCTTCCTGTTTTAAGAATTCTGTTCCTGGAGAGTCTTAAACATCTATCCTCACCTTATAAGGTCTCCAACACAACCCAAAATGTAATTCAACAAAATTTACCCTGGGGATGCAAAGACTTTTTGGCTTACTTAGAGAGCATGGGCTACCCAAAGCGGATGAACTGAGAAGACTTCACCCGTGTAGCGATGGCTTTTCCCTAAGTATATAGATGGCGCCCCTTGACAGTTAACTTCCAGGCTGCATATGCAGATACCTCTAGGGGAACACAGTGAGTCACGTGCATTACGGCAGAAGTACATACAAAAGGCTGGAAGAAGTGGTTGGAGACTCCAGCAGGGTCCACTGACCCTCACAACACCCTCTTCTGTGAGAAAATGTCAGCAGTAAACAAATGCAATAATGACAGATTTTTACAAAGAGCCACAATGAATGTGATGAAAACAGAGGGTGTTTTCCCCACAGACAACATTTTCAACACCTAGTGCCAAGCCATCTATAAGTTGGCATAGGTATTTCATCATACACCATGAAGATTAGCTCACTTTTCAATGGTTTTACAAATAAAACATACTGCTTTCATTGAGTTTTTCTTTCTACCTCAATAGAGAAGTTAAAGCCACGGTGAGCCAAAGGCCCTTTGACATGATAAATCTTTTTGACAATTGGCTTCTACCATTCCTTTGCATTATAATTCTATCATTTTTTAATAGTTTTCCTTCTCTACTTTTGTCTCAGCAACATAACCATGGACCAAGTTTTCTCTTTACTTTTATGTTTGATTTTGTTTTTGCTGAAAAATGCTGAAAACCTTTATAATGTCCATAAGTCATAAAGCCCATATTTTTAAAATTATGTACTGAATTTGAAAGAGAGCAAGGGAGGATATATGGGAGGGTTTGGATGTAGGAAAGGGAAGGGAGAAGTGATACAATTATAATCTCAAAAGTAAAACAAAAAAGTCTATTATTTGCTTTGGTATTTATAAATCAGCATAATCCTTATGGTTGTTATTTTAATGTATTTTAGCTAACAGGCTTAAAACTTAAAAATCATTTTAATAAAACAGGTACACACTAACATGAACACACTAAAATATTGTATAAAACATCCA